TGAATGTCTAACATGAGAAAACGACACTTTATCGAAACTCGACTTTAATTCTCTAATATCTTACGCTAACAAACCTGAATAGGATAAAGTGATAAACTAGTGCCACCTTGTATTTCATTAATGGCTAGAAGCCTAGAAGACATTCAGATTCCACTTCAAGCTGATTCCACTCCTGATCTTTAAGGGCTTCTCGGATACTCAATAGTTCTGCTTCAAGAGGAGAGAAATTACTAGTGCTCAACTTACCTCCTCTTGCCAAAAAAATGCCACCGGAGTCCCTCAAAATCCAATTGAAACCTCAGGTCCCTTTCCCAAGCGAGGCATTTGTATTCAGTTTCCAGCTACCTGCTCCAGGACGTTTCCATAAAGAAAGGCTCTCCTGCACATTATCACCTGACACCATCCCTGGTTGCTGCACCTTCGCCCATTCGTCAACAAACGCACCAACTTTTCGCAATATTTGGGAATCTTCAAGCTGAGCTCCATTCCAGAGGCGTTGATTCCGTTCGCCCCACAGTCCCCAACAGCCCACCACCAGCCAGGTAAGATCCTCTCTCTTCAATTTCTGAAAATTCAATTGAAGCCAAGTTAAAAAATCTGGTGATGTATTGCCTACAGAACGCCATTTCACCGCATCCCACACCTTTTTAGCTACTGAACAAGTAACAAAAAGATGCATAAGAGACTCGTCTCCCTCTTCTCCACAAAGCCCACACGCTACCCTGCAATCCACTCCCCTCTCTCTCGGATTATGCATGGTTGGTAGACAACTGCAGCAAGCCTGCCAGAAGAGGAGCTTAATTTTGGGAGGAAGCTGAAACTGACATATGGCTGTCCACCCCAGCGACTCCTCTAACTGGAACTCTCCCACCACCTGCCCATAACAGCTTTTGACAGAGAAATGTCCGTCCTGTTCCCCAGACCAAATCATTTTATCCTGTTCCAGTCTTTGTGTCAATGGGATACTCCTAATCAACTCCACATCTCTGGAATTGAATAAGTCTTTCAATATGTCTGAATCCCAGTCATCCCTTGAAGTATTTAGAAGCCCTGCTACTGTCTCCTCCTCCAACCCCGGAACACACTCAGTCGAAATTTTGCGATCATCTCGATCTGGTAACCAAGAGTCTCTCCATATGTTTATACAATTCCCGTCTCCTACCCGGCATTTAACTCCTTTTCTAATACTTCCTCCGTCCCCGAAAGAAGTTCACCATTGCTTTTCATACATATTAAGGAAAGAAATTTACTGGAGGGTAAATTTTACTGTTTGGACACTGTTTGGCACTATTTTGTACTGTTTGGCACTGTTTTGATATAGATAATTTGCCAAATAAGGAAAGGTGAACTTAATTCAGGGACTACCCAAAAAGGAAAGGGTGAACTTGTTTCAGGGACGGAGGGAGTAATGTTTTGAACCTCAAACAGGCTTCTCCAAATAAAAGATGGATTTCCTCCCAGTTTTGCTGAGCCTCCAGATAATATCTGGCCCGAAAAACTCTTCCTACCGAAGTGTCTGGTTAGTCAGTAACTTCCAAGCATGTTTGGCAAGCATGGCAAGGATAAAGTCTCTGATTTTCCTGAACCCCACCCCCATGTTTCTTTGGTTTACACAGAAAATCCCATTTTCGCCATCTGATTCCTTTTTTCAGACTTACCATTCCACGAGTACCCGTTCATAATGACTTCTAATTCCCGGTAAAGGTCCAGAGGTAGTAAGAAAACATTCATAGCATTAATAGCACCTCTCTCCCAGCCCTAGACAAGAATTTATTGTTCAAATTTTGAATTCTATTAATCGCTCGATGTCTGATATAGCTAAGAATATGTTTCTTCCCCTTTCCAAACAAAGCTGGAAGGCCCAAGTACTTCTCTGCCTCCCCTGCCAGCCCAACACCCATAACCTCAATTAACCCCTCCTTTGTATTATTAGCCACATTAGGACTAAAAAGGAATTTTGATTTATTGTAATTTATTATTTGACCCGAAGTAGCCTCATAAACATGGAGTGTTTCTCTAATGGCAGAGACATCACCATCAGTGGTCTGGAAAAATAAAAGGCTGTCATCTGCGAATAAAAGATGAGAGATTCGTGGCGCCCTTCTTGCCACCGCTATTCTGTGAATGCGACCACTCGTTTCTTGTCTACGAATAAGTGCACTCAGTCCCCCTGCCACCAAAATAAATAAAAATGGAGACACTGGATCCCCTTGACGCAGACCCCTAGATGGAAAAATCGGTCCCAACTCCCTATCATCAAAGGGTATTGAATCTGAAACAGATGAAACACACTCCATAATTAGATGCACTCATTTATCACCAAAACCCAATTGTTTCATCATGCCTTCCAAGAAACCCAAAATCTTGCTCATATCCAGCTTCAGAGCAGCAAAGCCCATTTTACCTTGTCTCTTCCTCTTCAGATGGTGTTGAGTTTCAAAAGCCAGCATGACATTGTCTACAATAGAACGTCCAAGAATAAATGCGCTCTGAGATTCTGAGACACAATTATTCAGTAAACCTTTCATTCTGTTAGCCAATACTTTTGCAAAAATCTTGTAAATCACGTTACAGAGAGCAATAGGCCTCCAATCACCCAATACCTCCGACTTATCCTTCTTTGGGATTAGGACAATATGAGTATGATTAACCTTTTCTGGCAGCGTACCTGACTCAAAGGAAGCTCTACAATAATCCACCACATCTGGACCTATCACAGCCCAAAAGTGTTTGAAGAAACCAGGGCTCATACTATCCGGACCGGGTGACTTGTCTGGATACATTGAAAAAACTGCCCTCTTGACCTCTTCTGCCCGAATTGGCCTTAATAACTCTAGATTATGGTAATCCTCTAATTTTGGCGATACATACCTAAGGACCTGCTCCATATCTCCCTGCACAGAGGAAAAAAATATTAATAAAATACTCTTCCACCATCCTTCCAAGTTCCTCCCGATTCCGCTCCTATCTTCCTCCCTCCATCTTGAAGCCCTCTACTCTGTTCCTCCTTTGTTTAACGACATTATGAAAAAATCGGGTGTTAAGGTCACCTCCTCTGTAGCATAACTCCGTCGCCTTTTGCCTCCAAATCTGGTTTTCTTTTTCTAATAAGCCCGGGTATTCCGCTTTGACCCTGCTGAATTCACCTACACTCCAACCATCAGATCTTTGGCGCAGATAGTTCATCCGTTTTCTGCAGTAACCAATGCGTTTGTTGTAGTCCCCACAACGGTCTTTGTCCCAAAAGCCCACCTCCCTGCTGCAATCCTCAATCTGGCCCACTACACCCCTGCCTCGCCCCATGAACCAACCCCTCACCACTACCTCTCGGCATTCTTCTTCTCTTAGCCACGCATTTTCAAATTTAAACTTCCTCCTTCTTTGAACTCCTCTAACAGGTTGTAATCTAATTATTAGGGCCATATGATCGCTGGGGGAACCCTCCAAAGCTTCCGCCGATGCACTTCCATATTTGTCCAACCAACTTTCAGAGGTCAGGATTCTATCTAGTTTCCCTTCTACCCAATTCGGAGTTCCCCGCCAACGTTCCCAGGTGTATTGGTAGCCTTCGAAATGGAAATTGCTTAAACCACTGGCCCAGACTGCCTCCTTGAATCCCCGAAGCAACCAGGGTGGATGGGGAATCCTACCTCTTTTTTCTTCTGCAGACATCAAGTCGTTAAAGTCTCCAATAACGAGCCAAAGTAAGTCTGACCTCAAACTTAAGGATTTTAGTAGATCCCAAGATTCTCCCCTTCTGGAACGCTCTGGAAAACCATAAAACCTAGTGAAGCGCCACGGAGGGTCACTTGCCTCTAGCTGCACTGAAACATCGATGTAGTTTTGTGTTGCTTCCCGAATCTGAATAACCACTCCGTCTCCCCATAAGAGACCTAGGCCTCCACGGTGACCGACTCAATCCACGACAAAACTTGATGACAGCCCCACCTCCCTTTTCACTTCCTCCACTTTAATAGTACTGGAAAACGTCTCCATTAAGAACACAATACTCAGCCTCTTTGAGTGGACATAGTCCACCAGAACTTGAACTGCCAACGGCTTGCTAAGCCCCCGACAGTTCCAACTTAGGCACGTCATAATGTCAGGCGGGCCTGGAAACTAGATCCCGCCCCTAATACGTTTTTTGGCTGACTGTCATTCCTATCTTCCTCCATTGAAACTCCCTGGTTCTCGTCATCCCCAACAATTTTGCATTTTTTTGTGATCCCTCATGTGCACGACTCATTCCCTATCTGCCATATTATCAAACTTCCAGCCTGCCCCTCCGAGGTTGTTTATATGCACTCCCATGTTAAATATCTTCATTCTTCACAGTAAAAGAAAATGCGAATAGTTTCAATTTACCATCTCTGAACTATTTGTTTTTTATTCACGTCATCTTTTTTATTCACACCAGGCCCAGTGGTGTGTGGACCAATAATAGAGAAAGGTTAGATAGGTTGTTTTAAAATTGACTATCTCGGGTATGATTAGCTGTGCTTTGGTATGGTACCGGACTACCGGTCCTGGTCCGGGCCCAAACAATACTGGTCCCGGATCATCCCCGTGTTAGGCCCTTTCTCTAATTCCAAAAAGTTTTTTTTTTTTTTGAAAAAGTAGCGGTTATGCCCGGTCCCAAAAAACAAGTCCGAAGCCTGACCCGTTCTACCCAAGGTCCGGGTCAGTACCGGTAAAGGAAAACCAGGCCCGGGCCAATACCAACAGTTCTGGTCCCGGGTTGGCCTGCCTGGGCCCAGACCACCCCTAATTGCATCCTAGAAAATACTAGGATAAAGAAAGGTAAATGCCAAGGACAATGAAATGCTATGAATGATCGATCTAAAAGGTTTTACATTTGAACCATATAGTTTTGTTTCATTCCAAATTTCCTCCCTACTTTCTTTCATAAGCATTTTCTGGATTACAAACATTGCATTGTTACCTGCTTTTTTTGTAACCAAACTTTCTCAATTTCAATTTGTTATAGGAATCTGCTATTTTATCTGTTTTAAAAAAATCATGGACACATAACAATGGCTTATACTGCCGCGTCTTCTGAAGCATAACAATAGTCGAGTATAAACTCAGCAACTGACAATTGAACTAAAAATGTTCTCTTGTAAACAAAGAAGATAAACATCTTTCTGTGAATGAGCTAATCAAAGACAGAAAAAAAAGATTGTTTTCCTTTCTGCTATAATAATAAAGAATAGTGACACTTGCAGGGAATGGTTAGGAGAAGTGTGCATCATAATGGAGATTGTATTCCAATGCTCAATGATTGGAAACTTGACTATAGAAAAGCATGAGTAATTCCACCTCATTACTCGGACCATTCCCTGCATTGATCATTACTATACACGAAGTAATATATATATATGTATACATAGATCAATTTGACCCATAATGCAGTCAAACATATAGTCAATCAAAACCAAGTCTGTTATTTGTCGATGTACGAAGTATATTCTATACATAGATATGCCACCTCCAGCTGCTGCTTGATCAAGGAAGAAAAGGATTGTGAGAAGGATGAGCCTGTTTTTCCTTTCTGTAAGCCCTGATTGATGTAAGAAGACAATAGATTCGAATCAGTGACACATAATAGTTTCATCCTACAAACACCGGCAGATTTAACATCTAGGTAGTGGATGTCCAAAAGTTACAATAAAGGTTTTCCCGAAAAAACCACTGTAAGGAATAGAGCAAAAAGCAAGAAATATTATATAAATAAATTAAAATAAATTATTACACTAATTCTACATATGTATCTTTCCTTTTTTTTCTAGAATTTTTGGGTGTTCAAATGGACACCCTTGCACTAGAGTGGCTCTGCCACTGCCTCCAACCCTAATATTACTATTACTATTAAGGGATCTGTATACAAATAATGCCCACAATCATTCACCTTGCCACACTTGATCCTGCCAGTGAAAATGTACCTAAGATGACCAAGAGGAATGGAAGCCCAACCAGTAGCTGCTTCCCCCTCCTACCGTGCGTTCTTGGAACTCCAGTCCGCACAACATATGAGTATGATGCGTCCGCACATGAGGAGTTTTGTGCTCTTGCACCTGTAAATTTTAGTAGTGTACATTAGGGGCCTCTGTTTGGTTCAGGGTTTTGGAACGGGAGGGAAATAAACGAGTGATTTTTATTTCATTAACTCATCTTTATTTATTAGTTGTAAACAAGAAATAACCGTAAGAATGGTTAGATTGTTTGAATTGGTATAATATTTTATCTCCGCTTTATTTCGAACCAGTTTAACGTAGAAATTAATGTGAAAATAAAGACACCCCTCCCCACCTCGACCTCCGAAATCCTTGAACCAAACAAGCCCAAAAAGCATTGGTAAGTTGGCAACATTTTATTTCATTAAATATGGTGAGTACATTAGACATTAGTACATAGTGAGTCATGACAACAATTGTAGAGGGAGGTCACATTGTGCAGAACATTGATACAAATATCCACCACCCCATTGCTGATAAATAAAAGTAGAACCTCACATGCAATGGAAAGTTGGAAACACGTTCATAACTTTGACTATGAATCCTTTATAATTTAAACAAAATCCTTTAAGAATATGAACCAATTATAAATGAAACAAAATCCATTATAAATATGAACCCCTTATAATTTTAAACTTTTAACATGAATCCTTTATAATTAAACAAAACCTTACAGTTGCACTTATTTTGAAATTAATGATCTTAGTGGAAAACACATTAATGATCTTAGTGATCAATAAAAGTAGAACCTCACATGCAATGATGCAATGGAAAGATGGAAACACATTCATAACTTTGACTATGAATCCTTCATAATTTAAACAAAATCCTTTAATAATATGAACCATTTATAATTTAAACGAAATCCTTTATAAATATGAACCCCTTATAATTTTAAACTTTTAACATGAATCCTTTATAATTAAACAAAACCTTACAGTTGCACTTATTTTGAAATTAATGATCTTAGTGGGGGTAGTGGCCTAGGGGGCATTGCCCCTGCACCATTTAAAGGCCATAAAATCAACAATTGATTACTTGATGAATCATTGGGAAGGGAATGATAAATTATGGCAGCAAAATATATGAGATGTGAAAGTGTAGAAGAGAGAAATACCAGAGCGTAGGCAACTGTATGCTTCTGAGATCTGCACCAATGCACTCATTTCATAAGAACTATAAAATCCAAAGCAGGAAAAGGATAATAAATAAGCATAACCATACTTGGGCAAGTGGACGAAAGACTAATAGCAGATTATGCTCACCATCTTGAACTTATACTCTGCACGTGATTTTTCCTGAGCAGGAAAGCGATCGGGGTGAGTTTCCCATACCTTTGTTCTATAAGCAGTTTTAACCTGACCATACATTTGTCGCAAGAAGTAAATAAGAAACATCATCTCTACATCCCTGACCCCTCTAGTTTTTGTTTGTGTGTGTAAACCGCAAAACAGATCACAGATTTACATTATAGCGCTTTCAGCTTGTATATTAGAGAACAAGAGCAGGAGATTAAATCTTTAGTCAATTGTGGAAAATTATCCACAATTTTCCACAAAATGCTAGGGGAAGTGAAGAAAATGCTAAGGAAAGTTATTTTACTATGTATGCTTTTAGCACGGAATGCAAGGGAAAATGAAAGATGATTAATGTTTAAAACTCTTTTCCAACTGTTAAGATTTTCTAGCATTTACTACGTATATTAGATTATTAGTAATAGAAATAAACTTGAAAAAAATGCATGACAGAATTCTTTTATAATCTGCCCTCTGTTTCTTTCCTTTGCACTTTCATCTTTCAAACGGACCCTTAAGTTGAGTAGTAAGTCAGCTATGATTAACTCAATTCTCAATTCAAGAAAAAATTGAACAGATTTCTGAAAACATATCAGGAAGTGCAAACGTAACTCCTAGATACGGGATCAAATTACAAATAGAAAGACTTGACAGGCATGATGCGACTAACGTTCGTCTAATGAATGGATAAAGCTGCAGAAACAGAGAAATTCGTTGAGCTACCTGAGATGGAGAGGGGCGACAATCTGGGGAAAACCCTAGCAAGGCTTTTGCCTCATCGGCCAGCATCTCCGGACTGTCAAAGCTCAACGCACAAGCATCCGGAAACGAACCCCAGATTAGATCGGAACGAAAAATGCATTACCTTCCGATTTCACTTGTTCAATTATTCAACTCTGATGCGTCTTTGAGATGCATCAATGCATCATGAATATGTGGTCCAATTGAATACACATAAATGCATTAAGCCATTTATAACTTTTTTATTGGATGATTTTTTTTTTAAATTTTACTCCCCGTATATGATTTGATCTGAGTTGGTTTAATACAGGGGTGAGTTCGGTTCTTGCGGTTCGGTTTTGACCTAAAACCAAATATAGAATCAAAGTAAAAAGTTCGGTTCGGTTTTACACTCCAAAACTTGGAACCGCGGTTTGATTAATTCGGTTTCGATTTTTTTCGATTTTTTACCAAAAAATTCTCGCTTGATTTAAAATTGATATAATACTTAGAGGGATCAAATATATTATATAAAGAATGCAAGCACAATACAACAACAAATAAAAAAATGAGAAGAGATAAATATATCTTGAATTATATGATTATGCGAGATAGAGGAGGATTCTAGTGAGAACTCATCTTAAAATGAGAACTTGTTATCATGAGAACTTTTAATCATAACCTTTTATTTAATTCAATCATTGGTAGAATCTACATGGGGTACTTTGCGTAATTATTGAAAAATCATGAGGTCTTTTGTGTAATTATTGTATAGTTATTACAAAAATGCCACCTTATTAATTCTAACCCTTGATTCCATAAATCAAGGGTGTTGATTAGAAGTTCTCATTTATAAATGGGTTCTCATTTTAAAGGGGGTTCTCACTAGAACCCTCCCCATGCGGGATAAAAACTATATATATTATTGATTTAATTTGTTTGTGAGCAGTTCGAAAAAAGAGTTCATGAATATATATGTTCTATGTGATATAGTTGAGATGAATATTTATTGTTTTATCAATATAAAATCTTTAAGTTATCTAAAAATAAAAGTTAATTACTACTAATAACTAGTAAACACATATTATCATCATTCAACATAGCTACATTATTACAGATAATGAATGTGTAAATGAATTTATAAACTAAATTAAATTAAACATAACACAAACATTATTTCTCTAACACAAGAAAATCAAAGACTATTGATGATATTAAGATTAATACTTAACAATTAACATATAAATTTCATATTTTAAATAGTTCGGTTTGTTCGGTTCGGTTCGGTTTTGAAGGGTAAAAACCAAAACCGAACCAAACAACTTCGGTTCGGGTTTTACATTCGGTTTCGGTTTCTTAGCAGTTCAGTTTTATTTGGCTGCGGTTCAGTTTAATTTGATTCGATTTTCGGTTTTCAGTTATTCGGACCCAGCCCTAGTTTAATATGGTGTGATAAATAAATGGCTTATATATACGTAGTATTTTGCTATTATTTGACTTGATATGATTTGATTTGAATGTGTCTTGTTTTGTATATGTCTATAAGTCTGTTTATGTGTATTTTATTATTGTCCAATCTGATTTGGTTTGTTAAAATCTTGTTTGGACTGCTTAGCCCATGTCACCACATCTGTCCCTTTTAATTTTCTTTCAGCCAACACGCCTCCAGTGTAGGTGCATTGGCGCCCGCATATACAATGTTGTGTCTGTCGTTGCAACTCCACATGTTATCTTCTTCTCCTTTCTTCTTGTTAGCAATCCACCACCACCTTGCTTTGTATTCACAGTGATCATCACTACTCATGAGAACATCCCTTAAATACATCGTCATCTTTGATTGAGCGCCACCATCAAGGAGCTGATGTTGTCATTGTTCGGAGGTTATCGCCATTGTTGGATCGATTGTCATGGGCGTTGGAGAAACCGCCTGACTACTAAAGTTTAGGATTAAGATTGGTAGCAAGTAGGTTACAAGCCGCAACGACAACTAGAATTCCACAACTATTTTTGATGTTTTGGAGTTGTTTGCGACATTATTATTGGAAGAAGTTTGTTCGCTGAAGGCCTGAATTGATGTCGTTTGCGCTGGCGACAACGACGACAGTGTCAACACCGGGGAGGTGGTGTACTTATGAGGCTGTGATTGGCATGCATCAAGTCAATGGCGCACTGAGTCACTAGGCTATTAGTGTCACTAGTGGCGGTGAGTCACTATAGACAACATGAGGATCACTAGTGGGTTGTTATTGAGCGGTTAATGTCATTGAACCGATGATAATTGAAATTGTAGTATTAATAATAAATATTAGTTTAAGGGTATGCAAGTCCTATTAACCACTTTTTTAGAAATCGTTAAATTTAGTCTTACAAACATGTCCTACTCGAGGAAGTGGTCCAGCTCAGTTGGTCGCCGACTCACTCTCCCTTACGAGAGGTCTCGGGTACGAAACTCAATGGAGTGAGTTTCATCCCTAATTACTCCAGGCCCCAGACACCCGCTGGAGTAAAAAAAAACATGTCCTGCAGGGTAATAACACTCCTTTAACACTCCTTTAAAAAAATCTATGTTCCATTTCTTTATCACGAGGACAATAATATCCCAAAAATGTACAGAAATGGAACACAGGTTACTCCATTATCTTGCAGTAGTGGATGCTAGAATGTCACAAAAACGGACTTTTTTTTTTGAAAATACAAAAACGGACTTCTTAAGTTCTTTTAACGTATTTGTTAAACAAAGAAACGATGTAGTGAATAGTAGTTCTAAAAGAGAGGAAACTCAGGAAAGACAAGGGTGTTATTTGAATTAGCGAATAGCAGATTCAATTAGGAGAGAATGTATAGAGGTTCCAATTTCCAAACGCCTGATTTGATTAGTTGATTGAGGAGTAAAGGGTCAGTTTAGTCCTCGAAGTTGCATAAAAGGGGTCAAATAAATCCTTATATAGAAGATTCTGTCCGGACGTGCCATTTGAAGTGGTTCCCGGTGGAAATTTTCAATAAATTTTTTTGAGCATCTTATTCATTAAGTCTAGTTCACTCATACCAAATTTCCGCTAAAAGTTCAATCGGGAAGGAATTCAAATGAATTCTTGAAGATAACTGCGCTTTTAACTGCACAGTTATCTTCAAGAATTGATTTGAATGTCTTCCCGATTGAATTTTTATCTGAAATTTGGTATGAGTGAACTAGACTTAATGAATAAGATGCTCAAAAAATTTCATCAAAAAATTCCACCGGAAACCGCCTCAAATGGCGACGGACGGATAGAATCTCCTATATAAGGACTTATTTGACTCCTTTTATGCAACTTCGAGGACCAAATTGACCTTTTACTCGTTGATTGAGGTGGCGAGTTACAAAAGTGTTTCATAAATTAGTTTTTTTACTTTTTTGAACGAGCATTTAAAATTAACATTTAATAATTTATAATAACACATTAAAGACGTGAAAGTGCAGAAGTACTTTCAGGTGCTCCAAATTGCTCCCAGAACCAATTTTTTAGAAGTTGGGAGAGATTTCGGTTCGAAAAACTGATTCTAATTCTACTTCTAATTTTAAAAAACAAACAAAACAAAATCAATTCCAAATACCCTACCATAAAGTTCTTAACCTAAACGCCATTACTTTTAGGCTCTTAGCATTTTCAAGTCAACATAATGGACAACAAATATACACAAAATATGCATTTCTATCCATTGAAAAATGCCAAAAAATGGAAATTTGAATAAGAATTGTTGATTAATTACTATATATTTCCAAAAAAATTATGCATTCTTAGCACGATTTTGTGAAATGAAAGATCATAAACACTCAGTGCAACATACGTAAGACCAAAAACATGTTCAACATTTGCTAAGATCTAAAAAGTCGGGCATCCATGCAAATGGATGCACACCAAGCCACACACCCTACATTGTTTCACGTTGCTGCGTTTACCAAGCATAGCCTCTGATCATTTTCTGTTTTCATGTATAAAATCCCCCATGATCATCACATCTCATATCCACACCGCCATCTTTCTTCTCCCTTCTTCGATGCTGTACTGTAACAATAAAAGAAGAAAATAACGTAGCTTAAGGAGAAAGATGGCAGCTGCGAATAAAATAGTGCTTCCCTTAGTGTCCCTCGTCTTAGTGGTGGGCATTGTGTGCGGGGCAGTGTTCGTGTTCCGCAAGAGCGGTGACGGATCATCCCAGGAAGACCATGGCGGCATTTCCACAGGCTCTATGAAGTCTGTCACCACCTTCTGCCAGTACGCCGAATTCAAAGACGCATGCGCCAAGAGCCTCTCCCCTGTTGCCAACAACCAATCGGCCACCACGAAGGACTTCATCCTCGCAATCCTTAAAGCCACCATCGATGAGGCCTCCAAGTCCCACCAGGTCGCACTCAACACGAAGGTCGACCAGGCTGCGGACCCTTACGACCACGTGGCCGTGGAGGACTGCAAAGACATGCTCGAGGATGCCATTGCAGATCTCCAGGCATCTTTCTCAGCAGTCGGTGATAGCGAGCTCCACACCCTCAATGACCGTGTTGATGAGCTGCTCAACTGGTTGTCTGCGGTTTACGCCTACCAGACAACCTGCATGGAGCAGCTGGAGAAGCCCGAGTACAAATCGGCCATCGAGGAAGGGATGGTGAACGCCACCCAACTCACTAATAACGCTATCAACATCATTGCTGAGATGTCTAAGGTGATGGAGGCGTTCAACATCACAGGTGCCGCGACCGACTTACTCACCACCTCCGCTGCCTCCCGCCGCCTTCTGGAAGGTGAGGAACATGGTGATTATCCTGCATGGTTCCCTTCAGCATACAGGAAGCTTTTGGCGGCACAAAAAGCAGGACAGGTGACACCTCACGCTGTGGTGGCCAAGGACGGAAGCGGCAAGTATAAGACTGTTTCGGCCGCTTTAAGCGCATACCCACCAAAACATCAAGGCAAATACATCATATATGTCAAAGCTGGAGTGTACGATGAAACAGTGTTGGTCGACAAGAAGATGAACAATGTCTTCATGTACGGAGATGGTGCTGGAAAGACCATCATCACCGGGAAGAAGAACTTCGCCTTCGACAAGATCACCACCTCCAAGACTGCTACTTTTACTGCCCTCGGGAGCGGGTTCGTCGCGCGTGGGATCACCATCCGCAACACTGCAGGCGCAGAAGGACATCAGGCAGTCGCTTACAGGAGCCAGTCTGATATGTCTGCCCTCTTCGACTGCTCCATCGAAGGTTACCAAGACACGCTGTACTACCACACTTACCGCCAGTTTTACCGTAACTGCGTCATCTCAGGCACCATCGACTTCATCTTTGGTAAGGGCACTGCCCTCATTCAGAACAGCGTCATCATCGCAAGGAAGCCACTGGCAAACCAGTTCAACACCATCACCGCAGATGGGAAAGAGCTGGCAAAGGCCAAGGGAGGATTGGTGCTCCAGAACTGCAGGATCGTTGCGGAGGCTGCACTCTTCCCGGCTCGATTCCAATTGAAGACCTATCTCGGAAGGCCATGGAAGGCATACTCAACAACAGTGGTCATGGAGAGTGAAGTGGGCGATGTCGTGAGCCCAGACGGATGGAAGCTTTGGGACGGGGAGAAGTTTGAGAACACATGCATCTACAAGGAGCATGGTAACTTCGGACCAGGGGCAGACACCAGGAGGAGGAACAGAGCCTTCAAGAAGTGGCAGGTGATTGATCGCAAGACTGCCGGCCAATTCACTGCTGGACCATGGCTCGATGGACACACCTGGTTGCACACCACCGGCGTGCCTTTTGCCCTCAGTTTCACTAGATGATCAATGACCATTGGGAATTAGGGAAATGAAAAGTAATGAATTGATTCATAATTAAAAGAAAAAAACGAGTAAAGTAACTCATCATGTATTCATGTATGTATTAATTGGTGCACGTAAAAATATTAATTGCTTACTGATTAAAGAAATTTTTTTGATTTATTTTAGTTACCATTATAATAAAATCCAGACAACCAACAAGTATCCGAAGGATAACTTTGCAGCAAAATTGTTTTGAATGGTGAAATCGATGACACCAATAATACAGATTTTTACGCATTTTAAACAAAGAAAATTGTTCTAAATATGAGTAAGGCATTGTTGATTTCTTTAATAAGGACTTTAGGAGTACCTTTACATTATTCCATTTCTAGGAGTACACCCCCCCTGAGAAGCTTTAACCATAAAGCAGCTTATGATTAGGGTACAGTTCAGCGATACCTAGTTAAAAATACAGTTACTCAAACTACACCTGATGAGTGTACAATTACTTCGCGCTGATCATAGACCCGAACTAAAGAAAGCTAAAAAAGGAGTAGAAAGTTATTGAGATTGTTATAAAGGTACACAATATGGCTATTACATAAAATCTATACTTTTAAAATAAAATAATCCAAACGTGTGTTCATATTTATGAAACATTGATTCCCACAAAAGATGCTCAGAGCAATTATCCAACTCTTTAACATTTTCACAAAGATGATGCGCAACCTAACACTGTAAAAGTTTCACCATTATTTTTGGATACTCACTAGAGTAGACCATAATTTAGCATTTCATATCTTCATAAAAATCGAATAAACTCTGAAATTTGATAGGCGGTGGAAACAAAAAATGAAAATTGTGTGATTGAAGTGTGGATTGAAGAAAGAAAAATAATATGAACCACAATTATATTACTTTAAAGGGGGAAATAGTAAAAAAATGATACGATCAAATAAAAGGTTGTCAAAATTTAGTGCGAGGGGAATTTTAGTTAAGAAAAATAAATAACATTGAACAACTGTTTAATTTTTCATCATTGTAAAACTAAAAGCCAATTTTTAAACAATCCTTAATAATTCTAAACAAGTCTGAAAGATATCAAGTAAGATATTTTTTTTACCCCGGGGGGTCAGGGGGAGGGGGGCTAGGGGGAGCCTGAGATAAACATGGTTGAAACTCCCTCCATGGAGTTTTGAACCCAAAACCTCCTGTATGGGAGAGTGAGTCGGCGACCATCTGAACTGGACCGCTTCCTCATCAAGTACGATTATTAAAACCATACACATTTAAAGAGTTAGCAAATAACTTGATAAAGATGTGATACCCAAATTGAAAAAATATTCAAATATTATGGTAGCCAAGCTGAAATGCTGAATCAAGGAACACTTGAGTGTAGCAAAACTCGAATTGCACATAACCTATTAAGCGTAATGTATGATTTTCATTTATAATCTTAATCGTACTAGTTTCTTGAATAATGAAGATATTTTGCTTGTCATCATCCATCAAACAAGAAATATAGTGAAAAGGGTATGCCTTTTATGTTCTTTAATTTAATAAAAGAAAAGAATAACTTAATTTAATAAAGAATAAAATTTAAATGTAGTTTTCCCGCACATCACCAAATGCAATAACTTGGGGGAGGGGGTGCTTGTGGGCAAAGGTACTTAGCTACAACATGTATTATGTGAGGGAGGAACTGAATGATGCAACAGCATCAATTTCCTGCTGCAAAAGAAGAGCATCAATAAAACAGTCCAAACCCTCTCCTTGCATCACATCATCTATCGAATGACTGGTAATCCCAACTCTGTGATCAGTAACCCTTCCTTGGGGAAAGTTATACGTTCGGATGCGCTCTGATCTGTCCCCACTGCCAATCTGCTCATCAATTTTGTTTAAAAGAAGAAAAAAAACACAACAGGTAAAAATAATCAATTGTTGTTTGCAACAGCATTCATCATCAAAGGTCACTTTACCTGCTCTGAGCGGAGTTTTGATCTTGTCGACTGAAGTCTACATCTTTCCAATTCAAAGAGCTTTGCACATAACACTTTAAGAGCTTTGGTTTTATTCTGGGAATCAGAAATTGATAAACAAACATGTTTTATTTTATAAAATAGGCAAACCATGAAAGCAATTCTAGCATAAACCGAAAAATAGAAAGTTGTAACTTGGAAAAACGGGAATTTTTATACGACCAATGGAGTACTTAATAAAGAATGTTGAAATCACAAACAATTATGTTCCCTTACCATATGTTGGGAGCGCTCATCCTGTATGGCAACAGTTAACCCCGAAGGAATGTGAGTCACCCTAACAGCACTGTTAGTGGTGTTTACATGCTGACCTCCTGCACCACCAGCTCTGTATGTGTCGATCTTCAGATCTTCATTTCTCAACTGAACATCAACCTGCAGAATTGTTGGGATATTAGGTACTTGATAGTTGAAGTCCGTCCCTCATGAACTCCCATCAACCAGGTAACACCACATCTTTAATTGCCATAAACACAACAGTAAGAAAGTCTGATGTACTCAAAGACAAAAAATATAATGCACATCCACAGCAAGTAACTAATCCCAATTAGGATGAATATAGCTTAGGAATCACTGGTTAAGGTGCTGTTGTGTGACCAAGAGTCATGTTCAAGTCTTGTGAGCGGCCTCTTGTCAAAATTTGACAAGGGAAGGCTCGCCCCCTATACACCCTTGTGGTGGGAGCCTTCCCAGGACCCTCTCTTTCAGGGACGCCAATGTGCACCTGGTTGCCCTTTTTATAACTTTGGATGCAGTTTCAGTTGGACGCGGCTGGGCCACTGATCTCAATTCCCTTGCACTCAAACCCAATGGTTAGAAGGCAAGTAGAAAAGAGGCTACTAAGGTTTTAATGGTATTTTTTAAATATTTCACATTTTCACATCAAGGTTTTGATACCATTTCAGTAATACAACTCTCATTGATATGAAACTTACAACTTACCATCCTTCATAATTTCTAAATACTAATACACCACTTCATAGGAAAGTAACGAGTCCCACTTGGGGTTTCAGTTACAACTTTAAAATGGCCAATACCTCACCATTTGACAATTGATCCATCAGTGTTGGGAAATAAGAGTCACTAACCTATGCTACCAAGCAAAAAAAATCAACCAGGCCAACTAAAAAATAAAAGATCCAGACCTGATCCGCCTGAGGGAGTATTGCAACAGACACAGCACTAGTGTGGACACGGCCAGATTTCTCTGTAGTAGGAACTCTCTGCAAAAGGTGCAATCTTATGCAAATAGTCTACAGGAAAGATTATTCCATAAATGGATTTGACATCAGAAGTACCTGAACTCTGTGAACACCACTCTCAAATTTTAGTTTTCCATACACACTGGGTCCAGATACAGCTGCACTGGCTTCCTGTGAAGAAATATTTAGCATCAGCTTTCTGATATGTTAATCATGCAAGGAAAACTCTTTTTTCATTAGCCATTAATTAAAGATTGAAGCAACCTGTCTTAACCTAAACAGGTTAAACATATTATTAGTCCTTCTCAACAGTGTTTGGTTCTTGATGTACCTTGTATCCTTTGAGATCAGATTCAGCCACACCTAGAATCTCAAACTTCCAACCTTTCACCATTGAGTACCTTTCATACCTGATGCATTTTCATTAAGGACAGAAACATAAATTATAAGACAAAGAGGGACCTAAAGCAAAATTATTTTTGTGCAGTAACCCACATTTTGAATACGTCCATCGCAAACAAAGAAGCCTCCTCGCCTCCAGTTCCTGTCACAGTTTTCTTACGTCACTACTTACTGAGATAAAATCACATCCAAAGAGCAACAAGACATGAAGAAACAAAAATAGAAGAAAAGATTAGTCAGTCACAATCACCTGCTCTCACTTCTAGAATGCAGTTTCTTTCATCAGCATCATCTTTTGGTAGTAGTGATTTCAGTAGAAGATGTTGTAGCCTTTTCTCACCTTCAGTGGCCTGACTCAATTCTTCAGAAGCCATTTTCTGCATCTCTTTGTCATCGCAACATTCAGAAATTACTAGTTCCAGTTCCCGTTTTTCCTAGAAGAGGAAAACTATCATAAAAAAGTCTGAGAGAATACAATAGGGGTAAAATTCAATTGAAAGAAATACCAAATTTAGACAAAAAATCACAAGGACAGTAATTAATATAACTGACACCCTCATACAAAGAGGAAGTTATGTGCACCACTTCATTCAGAAGAGAGGCGAGTAACAACTCCATATAGTCATCCCTCCATTAGTCTATTGTGTGCTCAGTGTGGCATCTCCAATGGAAACAATTCCGTTTCTTTAAAAATATCGAACTATGTTAACCATTTTTCCGTCATAGTTAACAAAAAGAAGTTAATGTGGCCTTTTCACAGAATAATATGCAAATGAAAATATGTTTCAAAAGAAGCCTAGCAAAGGATTTTAAGAACAGTGTGGGACTGGGTGTATTGAGCTTGGGTCCAAACCTCAAAGTCACCCTCTAGTACGAATAAGTCCCATATGAAATCCATCAGGAAATTATGTACCAAGGTAATTTACAAAAAAGAACCCCATCAAAGATTAAAAATGGAGCATAAATGTATGGATACATGTTTGCCAACTCATTTGAATTACATTAATGGCATGAAAACAAAGAATTGAGGTTTACGGAATAGCTCTGGGGGGTTTCCATGCTTCTTAACTAGAAATATGAGTTCACGCAAACTAAGAAAGGCGGATGCAAAAGAAGTACCTTCTGTACAGCCCTGAGTTCAGTTATAAGCTGCATTACATCCCTGAGTTTCCTAAGCTCTTTATTGGCTGTCGAATATTCAGGAGGAGACAATTCCGGCTGTCTTTAATCAACCCAGGTATTGCAGAATTTCACATCCAAGAAAAGAAATTGTAAAACAAAAAAAGGCACGCTTACAAACAGCTCGGTCAAAATAGTAGGACTAACTCCGAAGAAATGAATCAAAACGTATGATAACCTGGTCTAGGACTCGCTGAAGATAAGACGTCCTGTTTTCAATGGAAGAAAGCCGCTGCTCCATAATTTTGATTAGGTCAAGTGATAACTGCGGCCGCAACTCTGTCATTTCGGTTGGGGATAATGAGTATGCTTCATTTAGTTTAAATAGGAAGAAGATTATAAATGTGAAGGATATCGGAGCAGACCAGTAGAGTAAAAGCGATTGAAATTTAACACGGAAGGTGGTACTGTTGTAGAGCCTTGTGGATTAACAAAGTGCGCTGCAGATCTTCCATGTTTCGGATCCTTTTCTCGATTAAACAACTCGCCAAAACGGGAAATGTTATTTACCCGCCAGATATTACGACCTTGAACCCGATTCCTCATCGTCCTTATCATATTCCACTGTCAGAGCTGTATTCTTCTGAAGTTCCGAGTGTATGCTCTTGTTTACAGGGCTGTTATCAGTTCTTAAAAATTAATTCTATGAGTAAATTAGAACACTAGAATTTCTACACTTTCTCTCAAACACCCCAACTTCTACTTCTGCTATTTGAAAAAACAGAAGCAATTTTAAGAATTAGATCCAAACACCCCATACTCTGTAATTCACTTGCTGAGTTGCTGGAGTCCAGGATTACAGCATCACTCGTTTGTTTGTGTCTCCTTCGTTCAGACTCCCTACTCGTCATTATCACCCCAGCTCCTTGGCTTTGCATCTGACGATGAGTATATTACTAATTACTAAAGTAAGTCATTTTCTTTATTTAACACTTATTTATTTCTAACTAATTGTAATTGTGATTCATATTTCAGACACGAGCTTTGCAGCGTATACATCAGCGGACTACTGCCACAGTGAGTGATACACATGACGTGAACATGTACGGTAAGGCTTTGACGGGCATTGTCTCGTTGTGTTCAGATGTGTTGAGGCGATTCGACTACGGCCATCTTATACATATGCCCCCATCTCAGGATATGCCATCGACATCTAGTGCAACGGCGGCTTCATCATCCCAGACTCAACATGAGAGAGTGGTTCTTCAACCACGACAGCGGCGTAGGCAGCAATAGCAACATCTCCATGACCAAGACGATCAAGAAGACCTTGAGAACTTGTGGTTTGTCTTTTGTATTAGAGTTTTTCTTGTATACTGGATGTTGTAGGAACAATTGACTTTATTTTACGTATTTCCACCTGTAAACTCTTTTATGATGTGTTGATGTGTTCGGTTATGAATATTAGATGATTGTACTATGTTATGAATATTGGATGATTGTACTGTGTTTTACTGGTTATGAATCTACTGTTTTGTATCTTATTTGTATCGGGTATGTATGTGGTGTTTTGTATGTTGTTGAGAGCAGGTGTTATGTATGTGTTTGTGAGCAGGTGTGTTGTATGTTTTATAATGTGTTGTATCTGGTTTGATTTTACTGGTTTTTGCAGATGTAGGGGGTAATTCGCCTCCAGGTATGATCGTGTCTCCCTGCCACGCACGATCGTGCCTGGCTTCCAGTAGCTGGTTCCTTCGCCAATCTTCAAGGCAAAGTCGCAAAATGGTTGGGTGACTTCGCCAAACCGAATGGCGACTTATAAGTCGCCCAACCATTTGGCGACTTTGCCTGACCATGATTAAACCCAACAGTAGATCGGTAAATACTTTTAACCCAGCATTATTTTCGTAATTAATTAGCATTAATTCGAAAAAAACTCGATTAAATACTACGTATCAACTGGTCCTTACTCCTTAGTCCTTAGTCCTATTTAATTAGGAGTTCTAATTATTAAATAATGGCACTTTCTCTCCCAGAAATTTTAACGAGCACGCTGCGTGCTCTTTATTGAGCACGTAGCTCATTTCAGCGGCTCGATCAATTAAGAATAGTACTCCGTATTAACTACTTCAATTTCATTAACTAGTACGTACTAAGTTATAATATACGGAGTCTTTTTTTGTTTCTATATGGTACACATTTTTAGCTTTCAATTTTAAACAAATAAGATGAACTTAAGCAAAGATCTTTCTATATACATGTATATTGTTTTACACAAATTTTTTGTTCAGGTTTTTGTTTCTGAAATTAAATAATTAATATGTTTAATTCTCAATCTTATACTCCATTGTTTCATAAAACTTAGTCATATTGACTTTATTAATCAATGATGGTCAAGTTTGATCTTAGATAATTTAAATATGAACCTATTTAAAATATGGAAATTATGTGGAAATGTAATTTGTTAAAAACTACGAAGCACGGATACTTCACTAGAGTGTCGTATCGGCGTATCGGAAACGTTCCCGTATCCGATACTCTAGCATACCCGTATCGTACGTTCCCGGGCCGTATCTGCAAATTTGAAAAGTTTCCATTTTTTGGTAATTATTTTAAAATTTCGGATACTCGTATCCTAACGGATACCCGCATCAACTTTTTCAAAAAAAAAAACTTCCAAAAAATAACTTTTCAAAAAAACACTCAAAATTTACACAATAAAATTCTTAAAAATGAAAAACTAAAAATAATTTTTACCCTGCTTTTATGTGATACACAACTAATGGGCCCATTCCTAATTCACTCATCCTCCTATCCCTATTTCTAATCATCCCTGGAAATTAATAGTTCCAACGGAAATATGTATTAGAACTTTTAAAATATTGTTTTCTATCTTCATTATTCTAGAACTTTGAGTACTTGCACTTTTAATTTCAAAAGTGTAGTTGTTTGACTTATTTCTCATTTTAAATTAATGACTTATTGACTATATTTATATCTCGAGGTGTACCAGTGTATATGAGATAAAATATGAATTTATTTCGAAGTATCTTGAAAATGTAAAATGGTTCAATGTCATGAATGAGTAGACGTCAGAGGATAATATATGTTCTTTTTTCTAAAAAAAATTGTATTTTAATATTTATAAATACATTCCCGTAACTTTTAATATTTATAAATACACCCCCATAACTTTTAATATTTATAAATATGGCCCCGTATCCGTATCCTACTTTTTTTGGTTTTGTCGTATCCTCGTACCCGTTTCCGCGTACCCGTATCAGTGCTACATAGGTTAAAAATATTTTCATAAAAGTATAAAAATTATTAACTTCGCACAATTATAACAACATACGTCCTAAAATGGACTAGGCGTTACTCGGGTGTCTTCCAACGGCTAGCGCCTCGGCAAGAACTAATCAAACACATATGAATGATATTTTTATCAATATTTTTATATAAAAGTTATAAGTATTATTGTGTTTGAATTATGTGTGACTATGGGTACACACACAACGCCACATTTAAAAATATATAAAATCCTCTATATTGTATTAGTTGCAACATTAGAATTGATACACTATTCATGTATTCTACATTATGTAATTAATATTAACTATAAAATTTAAAAATATATAAAATCCTCTTTATCGTATTAGTTGCAACATTAGAATTTATACACTATTCATGTACTCTACTTTGATTACATTTTAGTTATTTACGTATGTAAATTATTATTATTTTGAAAAATATTGTTGAATTCGTCTCATTACAAAGTTTCATAACCTGAATTTTCAAATTTTTTACTAATAGAGAATTAAATATAATGATCAAAGTTGTACATTGACAAATGTGAAAAAGGTAATGTTACAATTAAAAAAGAAAAGAGGTCGGGAGTAGGTTTTACTGTTTTCTATTTAAAGAGCATGTAAACCCCAATTTTAGGTTGACACAATTTAGAGAGAAGCCTAGGAACGTTTTTTTTTGTTTTCACCATTGGATCTTCAAAATTCTGGGATTGTTTGTGAGTTCTTTTTCTCTTTTAATTAATGACAATTAATTCTTACTTAAGTTACTTTCCCAATTTTGTTGTTAATTCAATAATGAATTTGACAAGATTTAATTAGGGGTTGGGATTGATGAAAGAGTGTAAATCATGATATAGGGTTTTATTCTTGGTTGATTAGTTGCATGATTATTATTTAGTTTGTGTGTGAATAATTTGATTGTTAACTTTTGTAACCTGGAACAGCCTATAGGATTATTATTATACATAGAAAACTTTAAGACAAATCTAAATTATTCTATGACACTTTCACGCACACCTTGCCACTCACTAATAGCTAGATTAGCATGGTTAGGGAGTTGTACGCTCGCTCGTTTTGAAAACAAAATAGAAGCTTGTTTCATGAGAGATCAATCTTACTTTATAAATCGTTGTACTCTACGCCGCAACAGCGATATAGTAAGAACTTAGTTCAAACTTGTGTTGCTCAATTAAATAATTTTCATGACATTAAGTTTGATCAATCCCAAAATCTAATTGTCCAAAATTTGTGACGATTGATCCGGGAGCAAGCATCACAAATTTTTTACTAAAATCCGTCCAACCTAAAACTGGGATTTATAGGATGTTTAAATAGAAAACAGTAAAAACTACTCCGTTCTTTTTTAGTTGCAACATTCCCTTTTTAACGTTTGCGACCAACGCACAACTTAGTTCTCACCCAGACATTAGCCGCTGGACGAGCACCCGATTAATGCTTAGTGCATTTTAAGACATTGGTTATTATATTTGTGCGAAGTTAATAACATTTATACTTTTATGGAAAAAATTAACAAATAACATTTTCATATAATTTTCATATTATAAATAGGTTCGTATTAAAAATATCAATGATCAAACTTGACCATCATCGATCAACATAGTCAATATGATCGAAATTTATGAAAAAATGGAGTATAAGATTGAGAATTAACATACTCCGTATTAATTATTTAATTTCAGAAAAAAAATATGAATAATAAAATTATGTAGAAATATATACATGTACTTAGAAACAAAAAAAATACTCCGTATATTATAACTTAGTACTAGTTAATGAAATTGAAGTAGTTAATACGGAGTACTCTTCTTAATTGATCGAGCCGCTGAAATGAGCTACGTGCTCAATAAATAAAGAGCACGCAGCGTGCTCGTTAAAATTTTTGCTTTCTCTCCGGGTCCTATTCAGAATCTCATTTCTTCTTTAACAATTAGCAATTACCTAATACTCATACATCCCAAATTGATTAGGAAAGTTCACATTTTTTGGTTAACCAAAGTTAAAGTTAAACCTTCTCTATCGATAATTATTTAAATTGAAGATATTATCTAAATAGAACTAAAAACGTTTGTATATTCCAAAATAGGATTGCCATGTTTTTATTCCCAAAATAAGACTAATTACTGCTATGTTTTGGCTGTATCAGACTTTGAAGATGGCAATATTTTCCAAACTTGGTGTAATTACTCCTATTTAGGGAATAAAAACATGACAGTCCTATTTCAGGAATTTTCCCTTTAAATTTTTACAAATACCCTAAATAAGACTAAAATAAGATAGAGGGGAAAGATCCCGTACAAACTTTGCTTATTGTGCAAACATTTGTAC